TTATCTTTCAACTTATGTGGCTCTATGTTCAAAATGTTCTTTGATGCCTCTTTTATTATTTGTCCATTTGACTTCAACTTGCTAAAATTCCACCAAGTCTTAGTCCAATATGTTTCTCATTGGAAGGAAAAAGATTGAATAGCTGGAATTTGTTAGTGTTTAGGCTGTTTGTGTTAGGCGGGGGGGCTCTATTTCCCAGAAAGAAATCTACGTAGGGTTGCTCCTGTTGGTAAAAGATTTAGAGAAAAAAGGTACCATGTAAGTTCACTAGTCTAATTAAGGGTCTATATGGTTGGATGAAATGGTGAATGACTGAATGTAATGTAATGGTATGACTCATTACATTCCATGATCATGTTCGGTTGGCATGTGAATACTCTAAATTATATCTAAATGCAAGGTGTATGGTTAACATTATTCTATATATTATTTAATTATACTTTAAGCACAATAAAAGATAATTATTATCCAAATATGACTATAAAAAGGAAATATTATTCTAGAAGTTTTAAAATATGATTTTATTTTAACTAAAATCATGAAATTTATAAAATAATAAAAAAAATGTCATGGAAATTTCATAAATAAAAACGGGTTATATTGTAATTTTGATTCCATTCCGGGATGCCAAAAAAACACCCCCTCTTAGAATGTAAATAAACAAATTGGGAGGAATCAAATTTCTTTGGGATTCCATTCCATTCTTTTGTTGATTCCGTCATACCAAACACCACCAAAAAGGTGGGACTGTAACTCATTCTCTATCTCTTGTCTATGCAAACGACGTGTATGCCCTCCTCATCATCATTGTCAAAACTAGTCTCGCGTAACAAAGGAAGTAGAAGCTAGAAGGGAATAAATAATTACCTCATCAACTAATCCCATCATTGCAGATTGCATTTGAAAGACCTAAAGTCTTGATCTTCCTTTTTGTTCCATTGACCTTATTACCACATAAGTTATATATTTTGAGAATACCAACCCCAAATGGCTTAAGACATTCTTTTCGGTTTTTGAAAAAAGGACCTTAAACAGGGGTGGATCTATAATGCACATAAATCTCTTTATTGATAAAAAGAACAGCATGCTTGTAATTCCTTATCCATAATAGCAAGATATTTATTTATCGATAATACCTATATGTAACATATAAAGTGTATTACCAATATTAGTAGCGAAATTTAGGTATGTTGATGTTACTAATGAAAAAACTAAAGCAATGTTGCTATTAGTGGTAAAAAGAAAAAAAAATGAAAGTTTGTTGCTATTATGGGTAATTAGTAAAGTACATTGTCAGTATTGGTAGTGGGAGATGAACTTATGTTGCTATTCTAGCATGAAAAGAAGTCGAAGTAACCAAAAACATGACTCAACTAACAAATTCATTTTCATTCCATCAAACTATGACCTCCAAAAGTGGATACATTCTCCGGAGGCTACAGACCTACTATTCACAGCACTATTCAAGTTGTTCATCATTACTATTCATGGTTACTGTTCACAGTTACTGTTTATCGGCTACTATTTATGCTACTATTCATCGAGATTTTGGTATCTTTTCGCTTCTGAGTTTTCTGATTAGGGAACCCTGTGAGTGTTATGTTTCTGAGTTTTTCAATTTGGGCACCCTGTGAGTGCATTAATTCTTTTGCTGACACCGTGTGGAGTTATAACATGATCCTTAGAGAGATTAGAAAACGATTACGAATTGTTAAGAAATTCCTGTTTCTGGTTCTGCTTCTAATATTATGCTTGAAATTACTTCTTCTGGTTCTACTTCTGGTTTTGATTCTGTTACTGTTACTATATCTGCAAAAGAGATTGCATGTTTTTTTTGGATACGGAAATTTACATTCGTCGGTGGTTGCTTTTTCTAAGACGGGCAACTCTACTAAATGTTTGGTATCTTCTATCTCCAAATGGGTCATCAATTCAGGTGCTTCAGATCACATGGTAATCCTCATCTTCTGTCTGATTTCCATACTCATACATCGACATCCCACGTTACCATTGATGATGGGTCTACCCCTCAAGTTCTAGGATCTAGAACAGTTGATCTTGCCCCGTCTATTTCATTAGCTTCTGTGTTGAGCCTCCCTAATTTATCATTTAATTTGCTATCAGTCATTAAAATTACTCGTGGATTGAATCGTAGTGTCACATTTTCCCTGATTATTGTGTTTTTCAAGATCTTTCAACAAATCAAATAATTAGCTAGTTAGAATATGTTAATTAGATACACAAATATGATCGTTAACATGCAAGTTTTGCGTAAATATTTATTCAACTCTAAATGTTATTGCATATTCAAATATATATCAATCCGAGTCGCATTTTGAATGTGTTGAAGACAACCATGAAGACTTGATAGATATAGCAGAATTTATTTTATGTAGAAAACATGAGACATTTATTAACCACAATCACAACAACATTATAGAGGCATATATATATATAGATACATATGTATATACGAGGCCAACCATCGCACCCTTTACCCCAAATCATTGATGTTGAAATAACTATCTCTATCCATAATTAAACTTCCTTAATAACTAACTATAACTACCCAATAATTAACTACCAACTATAACTAACTATTAATAATGACCAAACTAACCTTTAACAAGTATAAATTACATTTCAACATTATCCCTTAATCTAGACTTGTACATAGCCTTCAACTTCTTGTCATCTTCAATCTGCAGAGTATTTCTTTATCACCCATTTTCCAAGTCTTCCATAGTCTTTGTAGAAACAAACATCAAACCCACCAATATTTTTTCACTTGGTTACTAGGCTTCTCATGATGGCCTCATAAAGAAACCTTTTGTCTTCGTAAAAAGGAGGTTCACACTTTCCAAACAAAATCATATAAAATGAAGGTTTTACCTTTTCTTCCTTGATGATTGTACGATGATTCATCAAATAACAGCCAACCACATTTTTGCCAACTTTAGATACCCTTGAACCATGCCTATTTTCTAATTTTTTAAAGCACATCTACAAGCAACATCTGTTTTTTATGTTATGCTTTCTTGCATAAAAATAGTATTTGTTGCGCTACTTTTCCCTTTCTTCTTTTTAATTTTGACATCAGTGTTGTTCTTCTTTAGTAGAGTTGGTATAGACTTTCTTTATCAAGATGCTTCTACTTTTTGCATAGGTTTTGTTAAAATGTAAATATTACATATATTGGTTTTGGCCTAGTAATCCCATGGGCCCGCAAGGTTTACTTTGTGTAGGGATCATGCCTCTATTTATTAGTCTTCTACCACTTTCTTGCAAAGTAGACAATCAATAAAGTATTTTCACCCTTAATCTATTCTTGTTTACATGAGCGAGGTTTAGGGACGGAGGGTTTTCTGTGTTAAGCAACGGTCGGAGGCTGCAGACCTACAATTCAAGGCACTATTCATGTTGTTGTTCATCGCTACTATTCATGATTACTGTTCACGGTTACTGTTTATCGGCTACTATTTATGCTACTATTCATCGAGATTTTGGTATCTTTTTGCTTATGAGTTTTCTGATTAAGGAACCCTGTGAATGTTATGTTTTTGAGTTTTTCAATTTGGGCACCCTGTGAGTGCACTAATTCTTTTGCCGACACTGGTGGAGTTCTAACCTAATCCTTGGAAAGATTAGAAAACGATTACGAATTATTAAGAAATTCCTGTTTCTGGTTCTGGTTCTGATATTATGCGTGAAATTCCTGCTTTCGGTTCTACTTCTGGTTTTGATTCTTTTACTCGTTACTATATCTGCAAACAAGAATGAACGTTTTATTTTATACGGAAATTTATTTTCGTCGGTGGCCGCTTTTTCTAAGATGGAAACTCTACTAAATGTTTGGTATCTTCTACCTCCAAATGGGTCATCGATTCAGGTGCTTCAGATCACATGGTAATCCTCATCTTCTATCTGATTTCCATACTCATACATCGACATCCCACGTTACCATTGATGATGGGTCTACCCTTCAAGTTCTAGGATCTGGAACAGTTGATCTTTCCCCCCATCTATTTCATAATCTTCTGTGTTGAGCCTCCCTAATTTCTCATTTAATTTGCTATCAGTCATTAAAATTACTCATGGATTGAATTGTAGCGTCACATTTTCCCCTGATTATTGTGTTTTTCAAGATCTTTCAACAAATCAAATAATTGGTAGAGGACGAGAATCCAGTGGACTTTATGTATTTGAGCCTGAGCTCCCGAAATCCCGAGTAGGATTGATGTCATTATCTCCATTTGAATTACATTGTCATTTAGATCACCCATCTCTCCAAACTTTGAAGAAATTATATCCGCAATTTAGTCATTTATCATCCCTAAATTGTGAGTCCTGTCAATTTTCAAAACGTCAACGTGTTCACTTGAGCCCTAGAGCTAATAAACGGGTTGCATCCCCATTTGAATTGGTTCACCCTGATGTATGGGGTCCTTGTCCTATTACTTCTAAGACAGGGTTCAAGTATTTTGTGACTTTTGTGGATGATTATTCCCGTGTTACTTGGTTGTATTGGATGTTTAATTTGGCTTTTGTTAATATTGAGAATGAGATTGTGAAGGAGGTTTTGGAGAATGAGAATGTGAAGGAGGATTCAAGTGAAGAAAATATTCAATTTGCCCCCTTCCGATTTCTGTTGTGGGAATCCGGAAGTTAGTGATTGTGCATTGTGGTTATGTTGTTGTTGGTGTTCTCTTGCTCAGGAGGTTAGGACTGGAAATAAATATGATATTTTGGAGAATAAGTTTTATAGAAAACCGAAGGGTGAGATGTCTATATCGCCTTTGCCTCGAGAAGAACAATTAAAATTACCGATCTACCCCTAGTCCTACCAGGTTTTTATAGGAATACAAGAGCACGAATATGGAAGAAGGTTCTTCTTCAAGAAATAATGATTCAACTCTAGAACCACCAATTCCATCCTTTATATTATAACTTATTTGGGGTTTAACGAGCTTTAATTGGAAATTTTATCCTTGTGAGTTAAACCTAGTTAATTATAATTAAATAATACTATATAAATAGTATAAAAACTATATCTTGTATTTACAAATAAGATAAAAAAAAAAAATCATATGAAAATTCATTCAATTCCTACAGCCAACAAAACATGATCATGGAATGTAACGACTCATTCCATTGCCTTGTTTATTCTATTCCATTCCTTCGCCATTCCATTCCATCCAACCAAACTATCTGTGTTCACGGCGATTCTTCCTCCATTCCCATGGCATTTCAGGATTCGATGAAGCCCACAACCCAATTCTCTTAGCCCTTGCACTTTTCTCCCACTAACATCATCAAAACCAATTCCCCCATTTCATAACTCAAAAAAAAACCTCATATTATTTTTCTTAACACAATCTCATAAAACTAAACTCACCTTCTCTAATTCCGGCCTTTTGTCATAGGCAGTGTAATGCCATGCTAGTCCTTTCTTCAACATTAACTCCTGTGGAAATTGGAATCGAGTTTCCATATTAGTTGCTTTACAAATTTAGGTACTAAATCAGCATCAAAATCACCTGTACAAATATGCCATTACAATAAATATCCCCAACAAAACACGCCCATATTGATCCTCATCAAAAATCAAAATCTTCAAACACTTCCCATCAATTATCTTCACCAATTCATCCTTCGCCTCTTTCCCACAAGGCATCGCACTTTCAGGTGCATCTATTCCCCTGTTTCCATTTACTCATATCACCCCAAACTACAAACGCTTCACAAAATTAATTTTTTATAATCCAAATATGGAAATATGAAATACCTTAGTCTGATCCTGTACTTTCGTGCTAGAATTTCCTCGTTATTGATATGTAGTACCCTATATCATATAATATAACCCAATTCACACAAAATTAAAAAAAAAAAATTTATTGTTGTCAAAGTTAAAAAGCTAGATTTGTGTCACATTTACTGATTTACCCATAGCCTGCATCTTTGATTTGCTTCTGCAATGCATCTGCTTTGGTGTAGTTCTTGTGGGCCCGTGCTTCGTTGCGTTCAACTGCCGCCATGTGTACTTCTTGCGGGACACGCGATGACTCTCGTGCATCTGAGGTACTGACATAGACCGTTACAGTGTCTCCGTCTGCTACTGCCCTTGCATCCACCTTTTTAAATCAGGTCAAAATTTGCAAAATTATTATCAAGACTCTGTCAGTGTCAGTGTCAGTATAATAGGGAGTTCTTACGGGAAGTGTGTGTAATTCAAATTTGAGACCGTCAGCAAGCGGTGGAGCATCACCCGCGGTGAGTTCAACTAGCGAGTGCGGAAGTGGGAGACCGTAGAATGATAATATACCCTTTAAAAAGAGATACAACTGTCAGGGTTAATTGTTTTTTTATGATAAGGAAGAGAAGGGTATTTATGTCTTTTGTAAGGACCAGAGATTTTTTTCTATCTTTTTGGGCGAGACAAAAACATTTAATTTTAACTTTTATCTTACAACATACACTCAGCACCTAACAAAAATAAACGTCCCTTCATGCCCACTGGCCAAAAGGCTAGAATGGACATTTTGCACCACCTTTGAAAAAAGGTTTAAGGTAGAGAAAGAACCTCAATATCAGGTTTTTGGTGTCTTTGTAGGGTGCGAATTACAAGCCTGGAAGCCTCTTCAGGTGTCTTTGGTGGAGGTTTTGATTCCCTCCATGCCTTTGATAGTTTCTTATACCTTCAATTCATTTGTTCAAGTGTCAAAAAACCAACTAATAACGATTAAAAAATTCCACGCGTTTTTACATTTATACCCCTAGGTCCTAAAACTAGAGTTAAGTTTTGATTTCGATTATTTGAGTTTGAAAAGGTAGAAAGTGAAATGTAGGGGTAGTGATTGTTGGAAAATTTACCAATTGGACTGAGCTTTCTTGGATGAACTCACATGCTTACTCAGACCTTCAGGAACCTATAAATAATAAAGATCGAATTGAGTTTTTTTTCAATAAATTGACTCCAAGTAAAAGCTCAGATGGATTTTGTTGATAGGTTTTAGAAATAATTTGTAGTGAATTATGGTGGAAAAGGGGTGATTGTGAATTTGTGATAGATCTAAGTTACGAGAGTGAAGTGAGGTACCTGGGAGGTGATTTCGAAGTGATAGAGGTGCTGGGCAAGGGCGGAGACACCGACGCTGGTTGAAGAAACGCCGTGGTGGCCAAGTTGTTGATCACCAGCACCGCCGTATGTAGTGGTGGTGGTTGGTGGCTCGGAACAGCATTGGCCATAAAGAAACCTCAATGCATTTCCCATTCTCTTTTACTGTTCGTTTTCTTGCACTTCGACTTTGGATATTTTCTGAGCGAGATAATGGTAGAGAGAGAAAAACGGGTAAACGAAATTCTAGTGGGTAATGAGTGTCTGGCACGCGTCTATATATGATTTGTCATGACCTTTTTAATATTATTTTCTAGTAAAAAAAATACCATTAAATTGAAATTTTTGTACAAAAAATACCAACAAAATACAAATAACCCTTTAGAGTGACCTGAGGTAACCGGTTACCTCATGTCAACTATAGGTCAACTATTAAACGTGCTTTAATAACCTTCAACCACCAAATTAGGGTTCACTCTCCATCTTCATCCCCCTTCTTCATCTCCTTCTGCCCTTCATATTTAATACGGCTCCTGTGACATCTTCAAGTTCATCAAATTATTCTAAGTCAAATTCGAACATTTCCAAGAGTAGGAGTACAATTGATTATGCTCATCCTTGTCACTGTGAGAAGCCTTCCAACCTCAACTACGGCTGATAATCCGGGTAGAAAGTTCAGAGTATGTCGTAACTAACTAGTAAGTGGTTCTATCATCTACTTCTCTTACATAATTAATTTCTTATGTGAATTTTATTATATATATTGAAGGATAAGAAGAAGAAAAAATGTGATTTCTGGGAATGGGTCGATCAAGATGAAGAACTAATAAAACAAGACAACACTGAAGTCAAGATATCAATATTGGAAAATAATTTTTGGACTCATAAGGTGAAGGCAGATAAAGAATCAATGAGTTTCAGAAAAGACTTGGATAAATTAAATTAGAAATATTGGAATCTCAAATGTTGTATGTTGTTGTTCTTTGTTATGTTTTTTATGTATGTTATACTGAAATGAAATGAAAATTGTAATGTAATGACTTTGGTAATGTACTTTGAAAGTTTGGTTAATTAAAAGTCTTGTATTGGAGTGGAATCAATGTTTTATGGAAATAAAATTAGTTTTGATATTGATTCTTCACAATGGAATGGAATTAATGATTCCGGGTTAATATTGATTCTTCACAATGGAATGGAATTAATGATTCCTGGTTAGAATGGAATTAATGATTCTTGGTTAATAGTCATTGTGTACATTTAAATGGAATTAATGATTCCTGGGACCACATATTGGAAAAAAGTTAGACCACATATTGGAATGGAATTAATAAGTCCAGCAATACAAACAAGTTATCAAAAGATACATTATCAAAAGATACATTACCAAAGAAGTTATCAAACGACACATTACCAAACCACATACATTACCAAAGTGGGACCACATACATTACATGCCAATAGAATATTTAAAAAGACACACACACATTACACCTAACATATGTGCCTTCATCGGTTTTTTGGCTTAAATAGAAAGTAGTTATCAAAAGATGTGCTCAACAAAAGATTCCCTACCAAAAGTTGTCCTTCACAAAAGCTACCAAAAGATACCCTTCACAAAAGCTGTCCCCAACACTGCTCCTAGAGTGTGAGAGGATTTTCAAGACTTCCCCCTGTATCATCCTTGGTCACCACTTTCCTCCTCAACCTAAGTTTTGTGTTCCTCTGAGAAGGACCACACTTTCTCCTTTTCAAAGTTGGAGCAACCACATGCTGATTTCCAGGATTCACCACTTGTTCATCAACCACTTGTTCATCATCCACCTCTAAATGCTCCTCTGAATCACCTCCAACTTCTTCCTCTGAATCACCTCCAATCTCCTCCTCTAAATCAACTCCAACATCCTCAGCAGCCCCATGGCCTTGTCTCTGTCCCTGTCCTTGACCCTGTCCCTCACCCTCAAATAGCTCATGGTAATCAAAGAGATATGAATCATCTACTGCATTAACCTGATTGAGAGGACATTTCCTCTAATTATTATCTGGTTGGGAACATAAACTGCATTTAGAAGTGGTCCCAACTTTGCTAACAGTGTGTCTGTCACTTCTTTCTGAAATGCATTTCTTCATGTTCATCTTTGGTCTGCCAGGCATTTCTTCTACGCTTTGGTGGTAATATGGTATTCATATCATTTGCTGGCCACATTTCATATCCATTTATTAGCTTAACATTATACCTGTAGTAGCTTCCAAACATTTGTGTTGTGTACCAAATTGCTACATACTCCTCTATATTCCCATTCAAGCACAAGATTGCAAAAATAGCATGGACACATGGTATACCTGTCAGCTGCCATGACCTGCATCCACAGGTTCTTTTATGTAAGTCAATTGCATAAACCTCATTCAACCACCTACTCTCATATTGATGAAAACCACTTGGAGTTACTCCCCAAAACCTGTTATGAAATGTAACATATAAGTTAGTATTGATCTATATGTAATATGTATAAATATAGTTATATACCTCTGTATTTTCTTCATGTCCTCATTCTTCCTTCTAATTGAGGGACAAATCTCCAAGTTCCACTTCAGGCCCTTCCTTTTCTAAGTAAACATCCTTTCCATGACATACACTCGAATATCTTCCAACATTGCTATTATTGGTTTTTTTCTAGCTTCCACAATGGCTGAATTAAATGACTCTGATATACCATTTTCAATGGCATCACTACCACTATCTTCTCTAAAAAATGCCCTAGACCATGTGTTTGATTTTTTTCCATCAGGTGTTCATAGGCATTTATGTCAATCAATTTGATCTCCTTCATGATATCTTCAAATTTTGTGGTTGTTGTGGCCTTGGCAGCACCCCAAAAACGTTTCCTGTATTCAGCTCCTGAGAATTTTCTCTTGAAGTTGGCATAGACATGCCTAGCACATTGTCTATGCTTACATTTTGGCACTCTGTCCTTAACTGCTTCAATCAGTCCATATTAAGTAACATTTGAATGTCATTATAAATTAAAAATAAAATATAAATACTATTATTAACAGTTGACTACCTTGTGTTGGTCAGAGATGATGGTTAGTCCTCTGCCTTGTCCCATATCAATGTCTTCAAGCAATAGATCCAAAAACCATTTCCAATTTTCCTTATTTTCAACTGCTACAACAGCCCATGCTAAAGGATACATTTGGTTATTAGCATCCTTACCAACAGCTGAAAGTACCTCACCACTACAAAGTCCCTTTAAAAAACATCCATCTACACCAATCACTCTTCTATACCCCTCAATCCAACCATCCTTCACAGCCTTCAAGCAAATATACATCTTTGAAAAATGGACTGTAGAATCAGTGTAACGCCCCGTTCTAAAAGTAATTATTTATGGAATTCCCGAGATCAAGAGTAAGGGCGTTTCGGTCTTTTTATGGGCAATGGGTTTTATTCGAGAAGGCTTCGGGTCGGGGTATGTTGCTAGAATCGTAGGGCTTCTCGCCACCTTTTCGTGGATATAAAGTTCGTCGGAAACGGACTTAGAATAATGGAGTTATGGCACTTTGAAGATATTGACACTTATGGCACTTAATGGAAAAAGTTGCCAAAGAAAGGCCATGCATGCTTGGGACACGCGTGGGTACGCCCAGCGTAATAGGGTAAATGAAACGTGGAGTTCCACGACGTACGCCCAACGTACTGGATTTACGCCCAGCGTACGTCTAGTATCCAGAAACCCTAATTTTAGGGCCAGCCACTATATAAGGAACATTATGGTTCCAACCCTAGCCTCCATATCTGCCCTCTTACTCTCAGAAACCCTAAGTAGCCGTTTTCTTCCATGGTTGTGGATATTTGACCTTGGGGAGCTTGGTTTGGCAAAGGAGAGCCTAGGAGAAGAAAGAAGAAGTTGTCAAGAAAGGAGTTGGGTGGCTGGAGCTCGAAGATCTAGGAAGGCATCATCTTCTGGAGCCCTTTTGAGGTATAAAGCTTCTTGCTTGACATCTATTTTGTGTAGATCTATGTATGGTGAAGTTTTGACACCATTCTTGTCCCAAAAACCCACATCTTGATGCATGATGTGTTTTGGTTAAGATGAGCTGTCCTTTCAGACCATTGGAGAGGTCTTGAGTAAGAAAAATGAGGTCCCAATGGCTTTGGTTGTCCCATGTAAGAAGTAGGATGGTCTTATTGGGTTAAGACCTTGAGTTAAGAGCTTTTTTGGACGTCCCAAGTAATAAAGTTTGAGACTTTATGAATCCTAGGCATGTTTGGTCGATGGATCTGAAGTTTGGGCTTAAGAGCTTAAGCCATTAAGAACTTATGTGGAATTTTAGTTCAGCGAGCGTACGCCCCGCATACCAGAGGAGTACGCCCAGCGTACTCCCTCTGTTGGGTTTTTGATTTTGGGCCTTAAGTGATTGGGTTGTTTATGGGCTGGTGGGGCTTGGGCCGTGACTGAACATTATGGATGGAGTAATATAGACCCAATAATTATTATGGACCTTGGATCTAGGCCCATTTGGTGAGGTGGGCCCAATTTAGTAAATTGGGCCTATATTGGGCTTTGCATGAGGATTCGGTTTGGGTCTTGGCCCAATAAGAGGATGGTGGACTAATGAGTGTTGTGGGCCCTTGGCCTAGAAAGTCATGATGGTTTATAATGAGATGATTTTTGCATGTGATAGTTGGGATTCCCGGTGAATCAGCAGTCAGAGATTTGCAGGATTTTGGCAGTTGCAAGGTGAGTTTTCCTCACTGTACTCAAGGGTCTAAGACACCAAGGCCGGCCCTTTGAATTGTTGTTAGAGCTTGTTATGTTATGTGATGATATGCTTGCTAGTATCCTGGTAGATGAGATAGTGATATGAGGATATGCTTTGTTAGCTTAGTATCCTAGAGAAATGGATAGTTGTATGATGGCTAGTTCTGTTGGATCAGCGCCCTGGTAGTTGGGTAGTGATTATTTATAGGCCGGTAGTTGGTCTTACACTATGTACGCTGGTAGGAGGTTACCTGCGGGTTATGTATGTTGAGCAGTAGCAGAGGGTATTCCATCCCGGTAGGATGATAGGGCCCTAGTGTGTTTGGTTCTGTAGAGTGTTATATGGTTGCCTGTTATGTGTACATGTCTACTAGTGTAGATTGGCATTCCAACCCGATGGTTGTGGGCCAGGAGTATTCCATCCCGGTAGGATGATCGGACTCAGAGTAGTTTGGCATTCCAACCCGATGGTTGAGGGGCCTGGGGTATTCCATCCCGAGGGATGATTGGACCCATAATAGTAGTAGTAGTAGTTACTGTATGTATAGGAAGTGGGGCATTCCAACCCGATGGTTGTGGGCCAGGAGTATTCCATCCCGGTAGGATGATTTGACTCATAGTAGTTTGGCATTCCAACCCGATGGTTGAGGGGCCTGGGGTATTCCATCCCGAGGGATGATTGGACCCATAATAATAGTAGTAGTAGTTACTGTATGTATAGGAAGTGGGGCATTCCAACCCGATGGTTGTGGGCCAGGAGTATTCCATCCCGGTAGGATGATTGGACTCATAGTAGTTTGGCATTCCAACCCGATGGTTGAGGGGCCTGGGGTATTCCATCCTAAGGGATGACTGGACCCATAGTAGCTATTGTTGTACGTATAGGTGTTTGGGCATTCCAACCCGATGGTTGTGGGCCGAGAGTATTCCATCCCGGTAGGATGATTGGGCTCGCGTTATGTAGGCATTCCAACCCGATGGTTGAGGGCCGGGGGTATTCCAACCGGAAGGTTGATTGGACCCGTAGTATGTTGTTCTTTGCTGTATGTGTATGTTTGTGTGTGTATGGGTATTTTGGGGGAAACTCACTAAGCTTTCGGGCTTACAGTTGTGGTTTATTGTTTCAGGTGCTTCAGGAGATCGTGGCAAGGCGAAGGCGTGATCGTACCGCTCCTCATGTTTATGTTTTATGAGATATGGTTCTGGGGAAATACTCTGATGTTTAAACTGTTTTGAAAACAAGATGTATGAACGTAATGGTTTTTGAATGAAATAAAATGTTTTAAATTGGTTGAAATTTTTGGTCGTTAAAAGTTGGTATCAGAGCCTTGGTTTGAGTGAAATGGAGGAACATTCATGTGAATCCAGTCTCAAATCAAGGAGAGATTTTCAAAAATAGTTTTCAAATGGTTTTCAAAATAAGTAAAGGAGGACGCAGAGGGTACGATCAGCCGGAGCCAGTAAGTTACCCCAAAATACCATACAAGTTATTTGTTTATGAGATATGTTAGAACAGCATGCTAGTACTAGGCTAGAGATCTTCAGGAATTGCATGATAGAATTGCCTGATTTGTGATGCCTGCTAGCCTAGGGTTTTCTTGATATGAGATATTCAGTATTCCTCTAGGGGTGAGGATTGAGTGCCTGCTATGTATGTTTGTGCTTAGGGCGTTGTGATGATACTTGAGACAAATATGGGTAGGTGTGGAAGGTAGTATGGGCCCGTACTACTGAAAGCACAGGACCCATACACGTGTCAAGGAAGTCACAACCCATAGGTTGTTGGTTAGAGGTTAGTTCTCGGCGGTTATGCGAGGTATCTGAGGTTCTTGTGGTTTATTGTTGTATGGCGGATGCGAGACGTCTCGAGTCAGGATCCGGTTCGGGATCGGGAGAGGGTGGTCAGGATGGATCGGCACCACCCGAGGTTATTGGTCAAATGAGGATGGACGAGTTGGATGCCAGGATTCGTGAGATCCTGCATGATGAGGTTGCTGCTATGTTTCGGGCTAAGTTGTCGGAACTGTTTGGGTCGATCAAGACCGCCATGGTTGAGTATTTTGATGAACGCTATGCAGCTCTTGCAGAGACAGTGGCAGGGGGAGGAGCCAGTCGGGGTTTTCAGTATCGGGATTTCGACAATACGAAGCCCCCTACTCTCGATGGAGTTCAGGATCCGATTGTTGCTATGAGGTGGTTGTCAGACGTGGAGGGTTGTTTCTTCACGTGTTCATGCCCTGCGGATCAGAGGGTGAGGTGTGCTCTGAACCTTTTGAGGCTCGGGGCGAAGGATTGGTGGAGGTTGACTACGGGATCTTACTCTGATGCGCAGCGGGCAGCGGTTTCGTGGGATCAGTTCCGGGAGATGTTCAGTACCCGTTATGTTCC